ACTTCTGTTCGCCAAAAAGACATCATTAAGAGAGCTAAAGGGGCCAGGTGTGGTGACTCATGCCTGTAGTCCTAGCACTTTGGGAGGCTAGGGTGGGTGGATCACCTGAAGTTAAGAGTTTGAGACCAGACTGGCCAACATGGAGATATCCCATCTCTATCAAAAACACAAAAATTAGCCAGGTATGGTGGTGCATGCCTGTAATCCCAGCTACTTGGGAGGCTGAGGTGGGAGAATTGCTTGAATCCAGGAGGTGAATGTTGCAGTGAGCTGAGATCATACCATTGCACTCTCCAGCGTGGGCAACAGAGTGAGAGTCTGTTTCAAAAAAAAAAAGTAAAAAGGCAACTCATAGACTGGGAGCAAATATTTGCAGTACATATATCTGACAAAGGAATCATACTAGAATACTTAAATAATATGTATGAAATAGCATATACAACCATAACATCAGTAGGAATATATGTAAATATATCATACACATGAAAAGTAAAACAGCAATGAGAATAATGAATTACTAACATGATACGTGAAAAACATGGATGAATCTCAAAGGCAATGTTAAATGAAAGAAGCCAGACATACAAAAAATATATATTATGTGATTCCATTTATATGACATTTTAAAATAGGATAAACTAATACATGGTGGTAGAGATCAGAATAGCAGTTACTGTTGGAGTAGGTACTGATTGGAAGGAGGCACAAAGATGTCTTTTGGGGTGCCAGAAATGTTCTGTATTTTTTTTTGGTGGAGGGTGACGGAGTTTTGCCCTTGTTGCCCAGGCTGGAGTGCAATGGTGCAATCTCGGTTCACTGCAACCTCTGCCTCCCGGGTTCAAGCAATTCTCCTGCCTCAGTCTCCTGAGTAGCCGGGACTACAGGCAGGCACCAACATACCTGGCTAATTTTTGTATTTTTTGTAGAAACGGATTTTCACCATGTTGGCCAGGCTGGTCTCAAACTCCTGACCTCAGGTGAGCCACCTGTCTCGGCCTCCCAAAGTGCTGGGATTACAGGTGTGAGCCACCATGCTTTGCCAATGTTCTGCATCTTGATCTGGGTGATAGCTCCACAGGTGCACACATAAGTAAAACATTATTAAGTTAGGATTTCTACACTTTGATGATGTAAGTTGTATTTCAATAAAAATACTTTTTTTTTGTTTTTTTGAGACGGAGTCTCGCTCTGTTGCCCAGGCTGGAGTGCAGTAGCACAATCTCAGCTCACTGGAAGCTCTGTCTCCCGGGTTCACGCTATTGTCCTGCCTCAGCCCCCAAGTAGCTGGGACTACAGGCACCTGTCACCACGCCCGGCTAATTTTTTTGTATTTTTAGTAGAGATAGGGTTTCACCATGTTAGCCAGAAAGGTCTCGATCTCCTGACCTCATGATCTACCCGCCTCGGCCTCCCAAAGTGCTCGGATTACAGGCATGAGCCACCACACCCGGCCTAAAAAGTCTTTTTAAAGTCTTAGAAATAAAATTCAAAGGTGAATAATTTACAGTAAACAATAATTAACCACACAAAGAAATAAGGTATCATGGGTAAGGACTAGCAGAAATGAAAACAGAGATTCAGAAGAAAAAAAAATCCAGTAACGGAATTATCAGAGTTTATATAATAACATTCTCCATAAGTATAAATAAACGACAGAAATGCTTGAGAAGCATGTGTAGGAAATAAGAAACTATAAAGAATTGCAAAGCAGACTTGAAAAAGAGAAAAATAGACTTTCTAGACATAAAGTCATAAAATAATTATAATTGAAAACTTGGTATATAGAACTCCCTTTTCCCTGAAGATGAAATAGGTATACTTTCCCCTATTCTTCCTGCCAAATGCAACTGAAGTCCCTGTACATTATATGTAAAATAAACATAAGACTTTGGAAGATGTGCAGAAGAAGGGAGACCAGATACGGACTTTGGGACTGAAGGAGTGACACAGTAATGAGTTCTCTACATTTTCTTCCTGCCTCATATATCCCAGACTTGGAAGTAAAAAAGCAAGCAATTTGCAAATGCCAACACGCACAGACAAGAAAAGTCCCAACAAAGGCTTGCTCTTTCTAGCCAGAAGACCAGGAAAGGAAAGCGCAGAAAGATAGAAAACTTCTAAACAATTATTGCTATACTCTAGCCAAACACCAAAGAAAAACTGTGATTCCTCCACTACCCATGTCTGCAAAGGCCAAGTGGGGAGTGTAGATTTACACTACACGACACTAATGAAGCACCCCAACCACTGTAGGGTAATGTCAGAGAAGACTGAGTAGGGAGCTGGGACTCTCATTTCTGCTAGATAGTAACAAGGTTCCCTCCCCACTGCAGTGTCAATGAGGACCACGTGGGGAGTCATACCTGGCAGTCATGAGGAGCCTTCCTCCTTATGTGTCAATGGGGGCTGGGGGGAGAACTTGCACTTCTACCCCTGCCTGGTAATAATGAGGGGGTGCCACCCTGTTATCCCCTGCTGGAGTGGTTATTAAAAAAACAGCCAAAACAAAGAATTTAAATACAATTCAGATTCTTATAACATAATATCTAAAATGTATAGGTTTAATAGAAAACCACTTGTACTATGTCAGTCTGCTCAGGCAACCATAACAAAATACTATAGAATGGATGGTATTTATTTATTTCTCAGAGTTCTGGAGGCTGAGAAGTCTCCAGATCAAGGTGCCAGCCCATTCAGTTCCTGGTGAGGGCTGTCTTCCTGGCTTGCAGACAACTGCCTTCTCACAGGGTCCTCAAGTGGCCTTTCCTGTCTGCTCACAAGAGGAGACAGACAGCAAGTTCTCTGGTGTCTCTTGTTATAAGGACATTAATCTCATGAGACAAAGGGCCCATCCTCATGACTACATCTAACCCTAATTATATCCCAAAGGCCCCATTTTAAAATACCAGCACATTGGGGGTTAGGGGTTCAACATATTAATTTGTAGGACTCAAACATTTAGTCCATGACACAAACCAAAAACCAGAAAGATCCTAAACTGAATCAAAATGGACAATGCATAGATGCCACCAGCAAGATGACAGAAATGTCAGAATTATCTGATAAAGATTTTAAAGCAGTATTATAAAAATCAGTTAATGGGCAATTATGAACACACTTGAAACAAATGAAAAAATTGACTGTCTAACCAAAGAGATAAAAGGGGAAGGAGCAAATGGAAATTTTAAAATGGAAAAGTACAATGACTGAAATAAAAACACTCAGTGGATAGACTCAGCAGCAGAATACAGGAGACAGAGAAAAAAACCAGTGAACTGGAAAATAGAACATCAGAAATTGCCCAATTGTAACAACAGTGAGAAAATAGACTGAAAAAAACATTAACACGGCCTTAGAGACCTGTGAGACCCTAGCAAAAGATGGAACATTAATGTCATGCAGCCCCAGGAGAGGAGAAAGAGAGTGAGGCTAAAATGGTTTTGAAGACATCATGGCTGAAAATTCCCCGAATTTGGCAAGAGACATAAACCTACAGAGTTAAAAAGCTGAGAAAAACCTACACAGGATAAAACTAAAGAAATCCACATCACGGCACATTAAAGTCAAATTTCTCAAAACTGAAGACAAAGAAAAAATCTTGCAAGGTACAGTGGCTCATGCCTATAATCTCAGCACCTTAGGGAGGCCAAAGTGGGAGGACAGCTTGAGACCAAGAGTTTGAGACCAGTCTGGGCAGCATAGCGAGACCCTGTCTCAATTTTTAAAAATTATATATATGTTATATAATACACATATAATATATATACACATATAATATATATACAAATATAATACACATATATATACACATATATATACACATACGATGTGTGTGTGTGTGTATGAATAAAAAAAGTAAAAACAATCTTGAAAGCAGCAACAGAGAAATAACATCTTGTATATAGGGAAAAAATAATTCAAATGACTGCCAATTTCTCTTCAGAAACAACAGAGGCCGGAAGAAAATGGCACAACCTTTTTCAGGTGCTGAAAGAAAAGAACTGTTGACCCAGAATCTTATATCCAGTGAAAATATCATTCAGGAATGAAGCAGAAATCAAGACATTTATGAACAAAGGAAAATAAAGGAAGCAAAGGAGAATTTGTTTCCTGTAGACCACTAAAAGAACAGTTAAAAGAAATTCTCTAAACGTAAAGGAAACAATTAAAGAGGGAATCTTATAACATCAAAATGGAAGAATAAATGTGGTATGGGAAAATTTGGGCAAATAAATACAAACATTTACTTTCCTTTTGAATTTTCTAAATTGTGTTAGGTAGTTGCAGCAAAAATTGTAACACTGCCTGATATGGTCCTAAATGCAGAGAAAGGAAAGATTTAAGACAATTGTATCATAAATGGGGAATTAAACGAATTTAAAGGGAGGTAAGATTTCCAATTTCACTCAAACTGGTAAATGATAACCTGGTAGACTGTGATAATGTACATATGTATAATATCTACAGCAATCACTTAAAAAACCATACAAAGACATACAGTAAAAATACCTCAGATAAATAAAAACAGAGCTCTAAAAAATGTTCAAGTAACCCACAGGAAGGCAGGAAAAGCAAAACAGGGAGAAAAAAATAGAAAACAAGAAACAAAATAGCAGAATGAAGCCTTAACATACCAATAAATGCATTAAATGTAAATGATTTAACTCACAAATCACCACTAAAGAACTTGTTCATGTAACCAAATACCGCCTGTTCCCCCAAAACCTATGGTAATAAAACATTTAAAAATAAATAAGTACATTTCACCAAAAATGTAAATGATTTAAATGTAGCAATCAAAATACAGAAATTGGCAGACTAAATTAAGAAACATGACCTAACTATATGTTACCTACAAAAACTTCACTTCAAATATAACAACATAGGCAGGTTGAAAATGAAAGGATGGGAAAAAGAGATAGCATGAAAACACTTATCAAAAGAAAGTAGGAATAACTACTAATATCAGATAAAGAAGACTTCAGAGCAAAGAAAATTACCAGAGACTGAGAGGAACGGGATACCCTACAACATGGCTGATCAGTATTTTTCAACGCTCTCAAGATAATGAAAAAACAAAGCCAGTCTGAGAAACTGTCACAGCCAATAGGAGCCTAAGAAGCTATGACAACTAAATGCATTGTGATATTCTGGGTGGGATCCTTAAACAGAAAAAGCTCATCAGGTAAAAATTAGTGAAATCTGAATAAACTGTAGACTTTAGTTCACAATCATGTATCAATATATCGGTTCATTAATTGTGGCAAATGTATCATACTAACAAAGATATTCATAATAAGACAACTTTTGTGCAGACGATGTTTGGGAACTCTTTGTACTATTTGCTCAATTTTTCTGTAAATCAAAAACTGTTATATTTTAAAAAAAGTATTTGGCTGGGCACAGGGTCTCACGCCTGTAATCCCAGCACTTTGGGAGGCTGAGGCAGGCAGATCACTTGAGGTCAGGAGCTCGAGACCAGCCTGGCCAACATGGTGAAACCCCATCTCTACTAAAAATACAAAAAATTAGCCAGGCATGGTGGCACGTGCCTGTGATCCCAGCTACTTGGGAGGCTGAGACACGAGAATCACTTGAACCCAGGAGGTGTAGGTTGCAGTGAGCCGAGATCGAGCCACTGCACTCCAGCCTGGGCAACAGAGCAAGATTTTGTCAATAAATAAATAAATAAATAATAAACAAGTATTAATTTTTTAAAAATAACAAGTGATCTCTTATGTATTAAGAAAAATGATGGCCAATATAAAAGTAATCAAAGTAGAAAATGCGGAAATACTGCCATTAGATTATAAAGTTTAATGTTCACATACCTTCCACTAAAGCAACTGTGATCCTGGATATTTTCTAGGATTCAGGTACTAGAATGTTATAGCAGCAAAATCCTGGAAATAAGCAAATTCCCATCAATAGGAGAATGGATGAATATGCCATTGTGGTGTTTAATGTTATGTATCCTCTTGACTGGGCCATGAGGACCCCAGATATTTGGTCAAATATTATTTTGAGTATTTCTATAAGGGTGTTTCTGAATGAGATTAGCATTCAAATCAGTAGACCGAGTAAAGCAGACTGCCTTCCCTAATGTGGGTGGGCCTCAAATACAAAGGCTGATTGGCCCCCAAGTCAGAGATAATTCTTTCCTGCCTGGCTGCCTTTCAGCTGAGATAACAGGTTTTCCATGCATTTGGACTTAAAGTGAAACATCAGCCTTTCCTAGGTCTTGAGGCTTCCAGCTCAGACAGGAACCATCGACGCTCCTGGTTCTCAGTCCATTGGACTCAGACTGAAACGAAACCATTGGCTCTCCTGGGTCCCCAGCTAGCCAACTAATTCTGCAAATCTTGGGACTTTCCCACCTCCATAATCAGGAGCCAAATTCCTTATAATAAATCTGTCTCTTTATACATACACATTCTATTGGTTCTGTTTCTCTGGAAACCCTGACTAATACAGTCACATTATATCAAATCAGATGGAGACATTTCAAAAAAGGAAAATTACAGGACCTCTCCATTCATGAATATGGATATAAAAAGTCCTTAAAATATTAACAAATCTAAGCCAAGAGGGAGTAAAAAAGCAATCACACCATTGCTTAATTGAATTTAACCCAGCTATGCAAAACTGGTTTAATATTAGAAAATCCACATATGTAAATCATCTTATAAACCGATTAAAAGAGAAAAAGCCATATTATAATGTCAATTGATTCAGAAAAATCCTTTGATAAAATCCAACTCTCAATCTTTATAAGTACTTGTGGAAAATTAAGAAGAGAAAATCTGCAACCTAATAAAAAACAGCTATTAAAAAAGTAAAATAAAAATAAAAATAAAAAACACGTAGAGAAAACTGATCCTAAATGGGGAAACCTTGGAAGCATTCCTTTGAAGTCAGCATGTCTACTAATGCCACTTTTATTCAATATGGTATTAGAGATTTATACTGGAGATTCTTGCCTGTACAATACAACAAAGAAAAAGGATATTAGAAGCTGAGCATAGCAGCTCATGCCTGTAATCCCAGTACTTTGGGAGGTCGAGGCCAGAGAATCACTTGAGCCCATGAATTTGATACCAGCCAGTAATATCTTTTTTTTTCCTTTTTTGACATGGAGTCTTACTTTGTCACCCAGGCTGGAGTGCAGTGGCGCAATTTTGGCTCACTGCAACCTCCACCTCCCAGGTTCAAGCGATTCTCCTGCCCCAGCCTCCCGAGTAGTGGAATTACAGGCGCCTGCCACCACACACAGCTAATTTTTGTATTTTTAGTAGAGACAGGGTTTCACCATGTTGGCCAGGTTGGTCTTGAACTCCTAACCTCAAGTGATCCGCCTGCCTCGGCCTCTCAAAGTGCTGGAATTACAAGCATGAGCCACCGTGCCTGGCCAACATAGTGATATCTTATTTTTACAAAAAGTAAAAATATTAGTGGGGCATGGTGGAACATACTCCTAGCTACTAGGGAGGCTGAGGTAGGAGGATCACTTGAGCCTGGGAGGGCAAGACTGCAGTGAGCTATGATTGCGCCACTGCATGCCAGCCTGGGTGATAGGGCAAGACCCTGTCTCAAAAAGAAAAAAAAATGATTGATCGGGTGTGGTGGCTCACACCTATAATCCCAGCACTTTGGGAGGCTGAGGCAGGCTTATCACTTGAGGTCAGGAGTTCAAGACCAGCCTGGCCAACATGGTGAAACCCTGTCTCTACTAAAAATACAATAATTAGCCAGATGTGGTGGCAAGCATCTGTAGTCCCAGCTACTTGGGAGGCTGAGGCAGGAGAATCGCTTGAACCTGGGAGGCAGAGGTTGCAGTGAGCCGAGATTGCACCAGCCTGGGCGACGGAGCAAGATTCCATCTAAAAAAAAAAAAAAAAAAAGGTATTAGGGACAAAGTATTGGAAATGAGACATAAAATGTCATTGTTGGAAAATAACAAATCCAAACAAATGTTTCTAAATTATTAGAAACATTTATAGCTGATTATAGATTACCATCCAGCTGTATTTCTATGTAACAGCAGCAAACAACTAAGAATACAATTAAAACTAAAAATAGGTCAGGTGCGGTGGCTCATGCCTGTAATCCCAGCACTTTGGGAGGCCAAGGCGGGCGGATCACGAGGTCAAAAGAACGAGACCATCCTGGCCAACATGGTGAAACCTCATCTTTACTAAAAGCACAAAAATTAGCTGGATGTGGTGGCTTGTGCCTGTAGTCCCAGCTACTTGGGAGGCTGAGGCAAGAGAATAGCTTGAACACAGGAGGCAGAGGTCGCAGTGAGCCAAGATCACGCCACTGCACTCCAGCCTGGCAACAGAGTAAGACTCCATCTCAAAGTAATAATAATAAAATAATAATAATAATAATAATATAGATGTATCAGGGAATACACCTATATTATCAAGTCCCTAGGAATAAATCTACCAGGTCTTCAAGATCTCTACAGACAAAATTTTAAGGATGTCAATTCTCCCCAAATTGATCTGTAAGTTCAATGTGATTCCAATAAATATCCCAACAGAGTTTTCATGGAACTTGGTAAGGTGCTTTTAAAAATTCTGTGGAAGAGTAAAAGGCCAGGAATTGCCAGGGAATTTCTGTAGCTGAAAGAACGGAAGTGGTGCTTGGGAGGAAATAAAGGGAGGAGAGAACCAACTGGGGGCAGTGGCTCAATCCTGTAGTCTCAGCTATTCGGGGGGCTGAGGCCAGAGGATCCCTTGAGCCCAGGGAATCAAGGCTGCAGTGAGTTATGACTGCATCACTGCAATCCAGCCTGGACTGACAGAGCAAGACCCTGTCTCTAAAATAAAATTTAATTTAATTTTTAAAAGAGAAGAGAACCAAAGGTCCACAAAGGGTCCATTCCCAAATCCCCTGAGGGACTTCTTTCAGCTGACAAATTTTTGGACTTCTGGATTGCAAACCAGGATAGCATCTCCTTTTGTAGTGTGGAAGTACTCAATACTAATTTCACTTTATTAGAAAAATGAAATTGGAAAAGGAGAGGAGAAGATAAAAAGAAATGTCTTCTACCCACAGTTCTGAGCATACAGCGAAACCTCAAATGAGCCAAAATCCCCTGCTTGTGGTTTCCATCTGCTGTATGGAGTTAAGGCTTGCTGGCTATGGATCTGTCAAAAAGTTTGCACAAGTGTGGGAGAGAGATAAAGGCAATGCTGTCAGTATTTATAAAAGAATCAACTCAGAACATCATAAAAAAAGAAAATAATTTAAATTTCAATCATAAGTCCAAGCATCCCAGCAAAAAAACTATTTTTATCTTCTCATGTTTCTTTATAGTCTTAATTTCTATATATAAATATAGACACATAATTTTTTGCATAGTCATCACTTTAAAGACTACATAAAATTCATCCACTGTTTCTCTGGCTTTGGACATTTCTGCTGTTTCTGATTTTTTTTCACTGTTATAAAGAATGCTCTATAAACATTTTGTGCAGTCACGTTCTCTATCATTTCAGAACCAGGATCAGAGACATTGAGAAGTATGCTAGGTTTCTAGTAATTACTTTTTCTCTTTTCCAAATATTCAGCAAGAGGCTCTACCTATTTCTCAACCTTTATAGATACCCTCTCCTATGGTTTACTTAATGTTATCTGCATAATAAATACAATACCAGTTTCGAGAATCAATCCTGATCATTGAAAAGGGTTATTTAGCTAGCTCCAGTCCAGTAGTCATTGATAGCACAAACATTAATTGTCAATCATGAGACAAGGAAAATACCGAAGGTTGCCCCTCCCAGGCAAATCTCTGAATTACTTAAGGTGGAGAATATTTTGTAAACTTTCATCTGTGATTATGTGCATTGAACTTATGATACACCCTTATTTTAAAGACTAAATCTTGGAGAAAAAAGCCAAAGCCTGGTAAGGCACCCTCTTCTGATGGAATAGTGTTGAGAGAGCAAGACCAGAGATTAAGATTATTCTTCAATGGATGAGAGTAGTGGAAGTGATATCATAGAGTGTGGTGCAGAGGATTCCCCTGAAACGTCTGAGCCCTTGTCACATGC